AATAAAATAAAATAAAATAAAATAAAATAAAATAAAATAAAATAAAATAAAATTGTGTCACAGCTTTCACTTGACTGGGAAAGGAGAAACCAGAGCCAAGCTTTGCTTTGACCTCCAACTTTCACTGTGAAATGCCCCAAGGCAAATCTTTGGGAGGCTCTACAGGAGATCCATTCACAACTTTTCTAGAGAGGCTGAAGATAAAGATACTTTTCCAATACTCCCAGTGTGCACAGTAAGGCCCCTGACGGCTGACCCTTCAAAGAAACACGCCGGCGGGTAGAGAATGTGCTTTACGAACAACGGAACAATGGTGGGAATTGGAGCTGGGTCCCCCCAGCTCTTGTGAAGGGGGCAAGGGGTGGGTGGCGGCGGCAATATGTTAATAGTAGCAACACCTCCATCAGAGAAGAATACACGTTTCAGGGTGCCCCAAGGAGGAATAAGAGGGATGTGGTTCCCCTGTCTGAGGACCTGAAGGTCTTTTTTTTTTTTTTATATTTATTTGAGAGAGAGAGAGAGAGAGAGAGACAAGCAGGGGGAGCGGCAGAGGGAGAAGCAGGCTCCCCAGTGGGCAAGGAGCCCGATGCAGGACTCCATCCCAGGACTCTGGTATCCTGACCCGAGCTGAAGGCAGATGCCTCACCGACTGAGCCACCCAGGTGCCCCGGACCTGTAGGCTTTAAAAAACAAAAACAAAAACAAAAACAAACAAACAAAATGCTCTTCTGGCCAGAGTGGGTGTGTGTGATTCTCTGGCCTCGGGCCACATTTCTGCCTCTATCAGCAATATACAAGGTTGGTATGGAAAGAGCTAAAGAGGCTCTTTTAGCATAACTGCCTGTGACCATGGGTCTGAACGTTATAAAGTATCTCCCTGCTCTGTGGGGAGCTCCCTCCCTGCGTCCCACCTGCCTTCAGCCCAAGGATCCAACACTGCAAAGCAGCAGGTGAGAGGCAGAGCTAAGGCACCATGAGGCAATGGAAGAGTTAGGAGCTGGTCGTGGGTAGTAAACAGGACAGAAACTAAGGAGCCCAGCGGGATGGGAAGAACAGAGAGGTGGTACAAGGGGAAAGAGTGTTTTCAAGGCAAGCAAAGAGGGGCCCAAGGGGAACCTCAGAGCAAAGGAAAGGAGCATGGCCCCGGGGAATGGAATAGTGGGAGGTGGTGGGGAAGACAGCTAGAACAGGACCAAGGAGCTATTCTTCACTGAATCTCTCCTCAGTGGGTTCTCCTGTGGGCTCTGAGGTGTTTTGAGCTGTAAGACTTGGGCGGGGAGAGGGGGCGGGCGGTGGGGGGACGGGCTGTTTCATCCATCTTCTCCTGGATTTCTGGATGTGTTTAACCACCAAACTGTATGATCATTTAGGTCATGAATATAACTGTACAGGTTTAATACAGGAGTTATAAAGGAAGAAAAGATCCTAGAATCAAATTTACATAGGTTTGTTCTATAAACAGAGTGCCTCCCTTAATCTTAAAACATTTCTTTGAGAAGGGATTGTACATGGGTGCGCATCACCGATATAAATTGGTGTGAGGGGCAAGACGAGAGTTTTGAGTCATGACTGCAGTCACTAGTTGCTGACTCTGGTCAAACCACTCAGGAGATAAAACAGAGGTAAGAATGGAAAGAATTTATGAATCAATAGGAAGTCTCAAGGAGAGAGATACAGGAAGTCACTAAGTAAGGAAAAAAAGAGGGACCACGGAAAGGAAGATGCCATGTGGGAAGAACACTCTATTTTTCTTTCCCCTTTTCATGTCTCTGGTCTTCACAGGGCTTATTCAGCATCACTCAGGAAGCAAGCACAAGGGGGACTCAACGGGGTCCTGGAAGGACATGAGATGTCCCCTGTCCCCGGATGCCCAAGAAAGGCATAGCCGGGACCCCACCAGAGGGCACACAAATGGGTTGGTGAGAAGCCCAGGGAAGAAGACAGCCAGCCTGTAATGGCCAATATGAGGAAGCAAAGGGCATTCACAAGAAGATTCCAATGACACAGAAAATTTCAGCTTCAAAATGCAATTTCTTGAGAACTGTTACTTTCTACAAGTTCATTTTCTTTCCTGATAACCTCAAAATGTGGTTAAAGGAAATGCAGTGGAAGAGAAACGAGGATCGGCAGGCCATGCCTGTTTTATTTTTTAAAAGATTTATTTATTTAGTTAATTATTTGATAAAGAGAGAGAAGGAGAGAGAGGGCGCACAAGCAGGGGGAGCAGCAGAGGGAGAGGGAAAAGCAGGCTCTCTACTGAGCAGGGAGCCCGATGTGGGACTCGATCTGAGGACTTTGGGACCGTGACCTGAGCCGAAGGCAGACGCTTAACCGACTGAGCCACCCAGGCGCCCCCACCATGCCTGTTTTAAATCTCAAATAAAATAAGATGACAACTGAGAGGGAGGCAAATCCTAAGAGACTCTTTAGGGAACAAACTGAGGGTTGCTGGAAGGGAGGTGGGCGGGGGGGGGGGGGGGGGTGCTGGGGGGGGGGGGGGCGGGGGGGGGGGGGGGCAACTGGGGGATGGGCATTAAGGGGGGCGCGTGATGGAATGAGCGCTGGGTGTTGTATGCAACTGACCAATCACTAAGTTCTACCTCTGAAACTAATAATATACTATATGTTAATTGAATTGAATTTAAATTAAAAAGTATTCCCTGGAGTGCTAGCAGTGGGATGGCTACAGGAGGAAGGGCAAACACAACCCCATGTCACACGAACCAATCACAGGGCCTCTTGTGGGGAAAATAAAAAAGAAGGCCAGGGTATGCTTACACAGGCTTTCAAATGAAAGGCAATGATGCAGAACAAATAAAGCAAACTCTTGCTTATCCACAGACTGATATCTAATTTGGGAATTATTTAAGTCCCTTGGGGTCACCTTCCCTTCCCTTTGGGCCAGTCATCCTTCTCATCATTCTGGGAAGAAAAAGGGAGCGCAATTTAAATCCAACTCAGTCAGTGGGGATCCCAAATATCAGCACTGGAAAAAGATACGGTCGGGAGGTGGGTGAAGTTCTTTTTTGGCTTATACTGGTTTTTGATTACTTATGAGACTCATATATCCTAAGTTATTCTTCTCTCCCTTTGTTATGGAAATTAGAAGTTGAATACACTGTTAATAGTCACATGACTATTCCTTTTTTTGGATCTAGGTGAAGAGCACAAAGGGCACAAAGCCCTCTGGCTCAGGAAAGATAATGTTAGATAAACGATGCTAGAAACAATATATATCCTATTTGCTTAAATTGTTCCTGGAGAGAAGAAAATTCGAACTGCAACTTCTTCTGACAGGTGGAACTTGACAGGTGGGGTGATGGGAAGGATGATCAGGAAGCTGTAAGCGAGGGGTCTGAGAACTAAATGCCTACGGGGAGGGCAGATGGAGAAGGCAGGTGAAGCAGAGAAGCCTGTGAGGACAGAAGCAGGGATTCTGTGGCAGCCGAGGGCACGCCCAGGCCAGAGGCATTCAGAATGGATTTTAACAATCACTGCAAGCCTAACCCAACGGCGCTCTGTGGGCAGATGTTGCCCACGAGCCACCAGTTTGCAAACCGTGCTTTAAATGAGTTAAAGAAACCAGAAAAGAACTTGCAGCTGTGATCACCAGAAAACGTAGGCAACCCTTAAAAACAAGTGGGGAAATAAAAAAGAAATGCCAGGAGACTGGAGATAGGAAAAGGTTTTTCTTATATGAAAAGTTCCTGAATTCTAGGAATTATATGAGTTCGACGTAAATTCTAGACAGCATTATGGAATAGCTCGGTTCCTTTTGAGTACTTTAAAAAGACAGGTTCAGGGGCGCCTGGGTGGCTCAGTCGTTAAGCGTCTGCCTTCGGCTCAGGTCATGATCCCAGGGTCCTGGGATCGAGCCCCGCATCGGGCTCCCTGCTCCGCGGGAAGCCTGCTTCTCCCTCTCCCACTCCCCCTGCTTGTGTTCCCTCTCTCGCTATGTCTCTCTCTGTCAAATAAATAAATAAAATCTTTAAAAAAAATAAAAAGATAGGTCCATTAACAGGAGACTTTATGGGCACAGTATTCATCTTATCTTGATAATCCAGACCAATACAGTAACGCAGATGCATCATATTTTGATGGAGTACATTGTGATTTTAGCAGGGAGGCTGACACATGGGGCTGAGGGGAGAAACGTGGATACCTGGCTGGTTATTAACCAAAGGAGAGGTGGTAGAACAGGGGCCAGTGCTGTCATGGAAGGTATTTTTGGAGTCATGCCAATGTCTTGGTTCTGTCTTGAGATAAAATGAAAAAGATAAATATGTATATAAAATGGGAAAAAGAAGGATTTTTCAGAATCGATTCTTATGAGGTGTTAATGATCTCCCGAATATTGTATCGTGCTCTTTAGATACCATTTGGGTACAAAACTATGACTTAGGAATGATGCATTTAAGTTGACAATTATGGAAGTATCTTTGTATTTCTAAAAAGGTTTATGCAAGTAAAACTTATATAAATAAGTTATGTTTTACAGGCAGTGGCAGGGAGAGGAGCGTGGGGCTCACTATGTAAAGAAACCCTTTTCCCAAGTCTTTTAGCAGGGCAGAGCCAGCCCTTAGGTTTTCTGATCTCAAATCCCTGTATTGGGGCTAACGTGAAGGGAGAATTATATAATACCCTGTATACTATGGGTATAGTTAATTATGTAAATTAAACATATGTACCTATCCCAATGTGCATATATATTGTCTATCTATTATCTATCGTTTGTTATCTCTATTATCTATATATTTACTGAATGTAAACAGGACAGGTGATTTCGCCTGCCATTCCGCTCAGAAAGAGGTCCTGGAGAATGCGTGAGCCACATAATACGGGTCCTCTGTCTCCTTGGTTGATCTTTGTTCCCTCGTGCACCTTGTGGCGTTTCTGTTTTGTGGCGTGCAATTCTAGTGTTTGGAGATTTACTTTTGGGTACACTTGCAGATCAAAACAAACCACCATCGCCACCACCACCACCACCAAAAATCAAACCCCAAACACAGACAGAAGGAATTGAAGTAGGATGAAGCCTGGGCTTGGGTTCACGTCTCCGGCACCGGGACGTGGTTGTGAACTTGTCCTGGTCCTCCAGGCCTCCCACCCCGTTCCTCCAGAAAGCCAGCTCATCCGGAAGACACAGGAAGGGGGTGCCTATGATCGGTCCGGAATTTCTGGGGATTGCTCACCTAGGTCATCGTCCTTGAGGGTAGAGCTCTGTAACCACCCCCAAGAGGAAGAGGGTCTTGGGAAAGGGGTCTCCTGGAAGTGTTTGCAGGTTGGGGGGTGGGGAGAGGCTCAGGTGAAGGTGCTATATATAGTTCCTTCCTGTTCCCATCCAGTTCCAAGGAACCGGTGACATAGTCACAACACGTTCACAGGTGCTGGTGTCTGTACCTCTCATTCCAGTTCCCCAGAGAGGTGAAGGCTTCCTTGCATCTCAACGCTCCTTCCCCCTACCTTTCTTCGCTCCCAGGTCTGTAGCTTTCTGAGGCCAAAAAACACTGCAAAGTCTCTGGTACATATATGCTTTGGAAATATGTTTGAGCAATAGGCAATGTGTCCATGTGGCACAATTTTCTGGAAAACACATGGCTATATGTCCATTAAGAAAAAGCTTTTTCAAGGCCTCAGAATGAGAGATTTTTAGATTTATAGCTCCTCTTCCTCTGTTTGCCAGAAAATTGCTTCACATCATATCGCCCTAGAATGCTCTGTTGTGCAATGACAGATGTGCATAGCATTTGTGCACAGCTTTAAACTTCGTTAATATTGGCCGAGTACCAATGGATACAATCACTCAATGGCATGTTTGTATATACCTGCTTACCTAGACTGCATCCTTTAAAGAAACGAAGAGCCAGGGACAGAAGAATGCCCCTTGTGTAATTTCTACAGAGCCACTAGAGAGTGTACGAAGTGGGTGAGCAGATAAAATGTCATTTCTTGAAAACTTGAGGTCACTGACTCAGATCTTAGAAGTCTAAATCATATCAACTGAAGTCATCAATACAATGCCTTTTCCCACTATTTATAATAGTGCCATCTTCATATCTCAAAGGCTAACAGTTTAAAGTTACATCAATGCTTTGTAATAGTCTGCACGTTCTTTATCACAGTGGTTCCCAAATGCTGGGTTTTGAACATGCCAGCCCAGAATGAAGTTTTTATTAGTCTACAGCCAAATGAGAAAAATCAGAAAATGTAAATTCCTTTGCATTAAGCTAGATTTATTACATTTCCAGGATTCTCTTCTTTATATTTTGGGATTTCTTTTTTCTTATAGTCTTACTGGTCCACAAAAACTATTTGGCCCGTGAGATCTAAAAGTATATCACCACTGGGTAGAAGAATCTGCTTCTCTTCCTTTGCTTTTATCTTGTTCTATCAACATAAAACAAAATAATTCTGAAAAAAATCCCTCACCCATTATTGTAACTAATTCACAAGTCTCTCGCTGCTGTTGATTCAGAAGGCACTGAACACCCATATAAACCACATACGAGGGCTGTTCTACTCCTCCCGAAAAGATGACCAGAGATCTACATGAAACACCAACCTGCCGGAGACCCTGGCATTGGGCTGAGTCTCTCATGGTTGGTGTCTGGGCTGGAACATTCCAATTTCTGGTCTGAGCCAGCAAGCCCTGTCCTAGACTCAACAACCTAGTGTCCAGGAGAGTGGGTGCTATCGCCTCCTGCAGAAGTCCAGGATCTGTAAGTAGGGGATTTTGGTCTGTAAAGGCTTTAGACAATGTTCCATTCTCTCATAAGCTTGGACAATAAGAATAAACACATGGGGGATCTCTGTTTTGGGGGACTGTGCAAACAGAAACAATCAATAAGGCATGCCACAACAAAAAACATCCTTGTGAGAGGCACGTGCCCATGGAACATACCTTTCCGAAGTCACCCGTATCCTCTCATCATTAGATGAGTTGAATCGATCGTCCTTTTCTCTGAAATATTCCTCTATGCACTGCTCTTCGAAATCGTGTACTTTCTTGAGCTCATCATCAGTTATGAACAGCTCTGTGGAAAAAAGGCGAGAGATATAAGACAGGAAGGATAAGCAATGGCATGTGATCTGTGGGCCTAATGACATTCCTCATTTAATCAAGATTAAGAAAAGGGGCCGAGATTCTTTACGAAGTCACAGGCTAAATCCAAACCCAGCTGGGCAACCTCTGTCACTGTCCTCCCGTGCATTAGACTCACTATGGAGCCCTGAAGTTGTCCTCAGTGTATCTGGTTCACTGCAGGGACTGGTTAGAATTATACATATTGTAAGGCTGAGAAAGGAGCTAAATCAAAGAAAAAGCAGGTTACTCAAAAGTTCAATTTCTGGTTTGTGGAGTGAGGCAGACACCCACAGCTGAGGCTGGAAAGCCACATCCCCACATCTCCAGCCCCCTCTAAAGTTGGTAGCAGCCACAGGACCCAGTTCGGCTCCAGAGAAAGAAGTCTGCTGCAGGGAGGGGTGGTGTGCTGGGAAGAGGTTCTGCTTTCCTGCTAAACTATTCAGAGGTAGCTGCTTCTCTCTACATTTTCTCACCTTCCCCCCTCTTCCTGCCTTGAACATGAATGTGATGACTGGGAACACAGCAGCTATTTTGCTACCATGAGGTAAGACAGTGCAATAATGAATAGCGGAGCCTAAAAACAGGACTCAGGGTCTTTGACTTCAGGGAGCCATTGCTGAGCTCTGGACCCTCTTCATTCTTTATTACTTGAGAAAAATAGAACTTTATTGATCTGTGGTGTTGTTAGTCTGGTTTTGTTACTATCACGGAGAGTAATTCATTAGTGATACACCGTACAAAGAGCCTAGTGGAAATTTGAACCTTTTTCCCTCGAAGCTTTCTATTTGCCTAGACTTGTGTTTTTGGTGGAAACAGTGAATTCTGGAATTCCTGGCTCTCTTCAGCTGTCTAGTTTTAATGTCTAGAACGAAGTTGGGCATTGCTTTGTCAGGGAAGTTGTTAAAAACTTCAGACTTCGAGAAGCAGTTGAGGAAGTGGCTTTGGTTTGAGCTTTAGAGCACTAGTGATCACCAAGAGGTACCGCCTGGGCCACAATCCCAGAGGCTTTGGTTCAGTAGATTTAGTATAGGCAGTCTCTTTGACACACTTTGAGAAACCACAGGAGCTTGCTTGTATGGGGCTGGATTCTCAGTGGTTCTTAACTGTGGGTGGGGTAGTAAGGGACATTTAGGGACCTGCAGGAGCTATTGGTATTCAGTGTGTGGAGGCCGGATGTGCTAAATCTTCTGCAATGTGTGGGACAATCCCACACATTGAAGAATTATTCCACCCCAAAGCCAATAGAACCTCCTTTTAGAAACACTGGGTAGAAGGTGGATGGTGGAGCATTTTCTGTTTTTCCTTTGACTAATAGAGAGCAGGGCTGGCTTCCTCATGAAGTCATACATGACTTCCTAAGACTTGGGGAATGTTTAAGACCCCCTGAAAATGACAGGTCCAGAAATGATCATGGAAAATCAAACTTAGTCACCTGCAACCCACCTCAACCCAGGTAATGATGCCTGCCTTATATATAATGTAGCGTCGGGAGCACATTAATATGGTGCATATATTTTGCGGTGGGGTGTCTCTGGACAGCACGAAGTTTAGAACCTGTGAAGGTGCTAAAACAGCTCTGCCAGAGGACTGGTTTTATTCCCTAAGGAAGATGTGAGGCTACGAATGCTCCATTTCAGCCTCTCATGTCTTTTCTGCACTGTTTCCCACGGAAGCGCACCC